ATTTTATTTTAAGAAAGTGTATTATTGTGATGAAATAAATTACGGAATATGTGTAAATAATACAATATGTGGGCGTGCTTGTGTGTACGTACCGAACGAATTAAGGATTCTGCATTCGTAGGAGGGCCATTTTTCATCTGGCACCGTTCTATTTCTAACACATTTCGTTGGAAAAGCATTATTAAAAGGCCATGAGCAATAATTAGTCCCTGACAATTTAGATATCCAAAAATCAGGAACAACCTCCACAGAGTCCTCTTTAATGAAGTGAACAATACAAAACTTGGAAGGCATGCCTGGAGTTATGTACAAATAATTATTGACCATGGATAAGTGGAAAGATAACAACATTTTTATGATGATCTTCAGATTGATTAGATTCGTCAAAAATCGGAAGAACCACACCCTTATTTTTAATATTTTCAATTGGAAATGCTTGCAAGATACCATAATCGTTAGAAAGTTTAATAATACCAAAGCATGTCGATGGTGCTGGCGAATGAAAAAATTGTTTTCCGTTTTTTAACTTTTTGCCAAGAACTACTACGGAATTATTGCGATGGCAAATATTTTCAATCATTACAACACTTTCATCTGTCATAATGCAGTAGTTGTTCGGTCTTTTTATCGTGATTTTAAAATTTTTGAATTGAATATCCTTATGCATGGGTGACGTACATCCATTTATCAACCTTCCATTGTAGTATTTCTTTCCTAGTTTATAATTTTCGAAGACATGGTCAACAAATTCAATACAATGGCTATTTCTGATTTCATAAATACAGTTACTTAATTGTTCAAGAGGTTTATTATTACCTCTGATAAATTTTTTTATATGCTGCAAATGATTCTCGAAAATAAATGCAGAAAATTCGTCAAGTGTTCCCCATTGCAATGCATCATCGGCCAAGTGCAGTAATCCATGCGTATTATACGTTGCATTATGCACTCCATATAATTGCAAAAATTCGGCAAAATATTCTTCTAACAAGTTCTTTGCATATCTATTTTGTTCCACATCAATATTAGGAGTTGCTAGAAGGCGTATAGCCATTGACAGTTTTATAAAATGATTATATACATCACTCCTTACTATCTTGCGTAATACGATGGGCCCAGTATATAACAAAAATTCGCGGAATTCAGTGGCTTTCATGCGATCAAGCTCGTCCAAAGCTCTCGGTTTACGGGCAAAGTCATTCGGAACGTACTTTCGAAGTACGAGCTGTCGTTTGCTAATCTCCAGAACCTGTTGTGCACTCAACTTCATAGGATTCAGCTTTCCAGTTATTATTTTCAACATTTTTTTTACTTGGCCTAATATCACTAGATGCATATAGTCATATGGCATTTGTGAAATCATATCAATATTAAGACTCAACAAGGGACTTATTCCAGTATGATGTTGTTTATCAGATTGCATTGCAAACGATTCTGCTGTTCGTAGCGGAGCATTCATTTCTGGATATACCACTTTTCCATTGACGTAGGTGCCTTTAGTTTCACACTTATTACATGCATAATATCCTCCATGGTTTTTAATGCAACAAATATACGCTCTTGCAGGAGCATCACATATGAAACAATCGATAATAAATTTTCTGTTAATATCATTATAGGTATAGCCATTTTGTATAAGGTCCATTGCTTCTTCAATGAAGTACTTTAAAAATACCGTAGCATCTGGAGGCTTTTGATACCCATGAAAAGCGCCAATGAGAAATGGTGTTTTGTTTTGGAAATTTCTAAAACTCCCAAGAATTGGCCATAATTGACTCTTGGAACTTTTGGCAAGCGGCAGTCCATCTATGTTGATAGATAAATGAATTTCTTCAGGTAGATACGTAATGGTACTGCTTATTTCTATAATATGATGTAGGCCTTTAGCAATACCAAAATGAACATATCGACCATGTTCCATTGGAATACTTTCTGCCTTCGTCGGGGTTTTTAAGAATGTTCGAGCGTCTGATGGAAAGAATTGCATAGCCTTTTCTATTTTCAAAACTTTTAATAGACTGGTCATGGCGGATCTACAGATCTTATTATCGTGGTTCCATTTCACCAGATTTCTTTGCAATCGATCAATATTTATACCATTATGTTCACAGTCTGATTCCGATGAAGAATCAGTATGATATTCGTAGAGTGGTGTAAAATTATTTTCGACTATTACTTCTTCCGGGACAATTTCCTCTTGTACTTCTTGAATAATTTCATCTGATGCAATTTCCGAGATAGAATATATTTCATTATCGTTTACTTCTAGAAGGCAGTTATTGCAATTTTCGGCTGAATATATGTCACTTTTGTGAGCCTGTAGATTGTTTTCTATTTCTTGTA